AATGTCGCAGTATCATTGCGTACGCAGCCTGAGATCTGATATCACGTGAAAGCTACTTTTTTACACGACATGCTTGTTGTACCGGTATTTTACTCGTGTGGTCAAGGTCTCAGCCCCACCTATAAGCCTGTCATTTCAAAATTTCTTCGCTCCAAGGCAATCAATAAGACCAGTCTAAGGACGTTTCTCAACTGCTTCGTACTGCTATCGAATCTTGTCCTTCTGGAACCTCGAGGGGCCAGAGGGGGCTGGTGCTGCTGTTAGGACGAGGCTGCTATGTCTGATATCACGTGAACAAGCTACTTTTTTACACGACATGCTTGCAGTACCGGTATTTTACTCGTGTGGTCAAGGTCTCTCCTCAGAAGCCCCACCTATAAGCCTGTCATTTCAAAATTTATTCGCTCCAAGGCAATGAATACTGTAAGACCAGTCTAAGGACGTGTCGCCGACATGGACGAAGTCAGTATGCAATCTTTGACCCACCAGATCGTTAGCACGACCAAAGATTACGACCAAAAATCGGTTTTAGCAAACACTGCATCTAATCAATATTAATTCTCCTCCGTGTCTTATACAGACGTCGGACGAACGGGAGCATAATATGCTATGATCTCGGGAGGCCGGTTACATGTATTATAATAAAGGCATTATTGGGCTATACTTTATTATCTGATTAATTAAAACGTACTTCCTCGGAGGAATCCTTCGTCCGAAAAAATAAGCAGGATAGGCGGGCAAAATTAATTTTAAGAACAGAAAATTTTTAAACGAGCAGCTGATTGGTCTTAATTGCTGGTTAGCTTACGGCAATTGTTTTGGTCGACGTTTGAAGCAAATCGGCCACCTGGTCGCAAAGTTATCGTTATGCAAAGTTCGTTGGAAATCTTTCGCCAGGATGTCAATTTTACACGAAATGTCACAGAAACCTGTAGAGATCTGTTAAGCGGTGCCGTGTAGAGTGCCTATATATTTCTACGGTCTCGTTTGCAGCGGCCGACAACAACAACAGCATTTGTATGGGAGTACTTAGGTGGAATTCGACAGTACTATCAAATGACTTGAATTTGTAAGCATGCCGCTTTTATTTTCGGACACGTATATTTTCGGACAGAGGAAGTAGAAGAGACGCAACTTATGACAGATTTGATGCATCAGCGGCTGAGAAACAGTACTTAATAATATCTGTAAAAAGTTTTTACTAAAAACGCTCTAATGTTTTAAAGTACAGCTGAGCCCTTGCTAACAACACTTTCGATCGAAAGTATTTAATCTTTTAAATAAGGAAAGAAAGCTGATTTACGGTAACATCAGAACTGTTATTTGTTTTTTTACTGTTAATAAATATTGTTTATAAATTAAATTAATGGAATTTCCAACAAGTGGTTGACAGAACGTGTTTTTTTAACGTGTTTTTTGCACACGTTCTGTCAACCACTTGTTGGAAATTCCATTTATTCAATGGCAATCGTTCCTGCGCCCAACTCGGAAATATGTGACGAGCCTCCTGCACCCGCCCACGACCATCTCGCGCCCAGCGGTACCCATCAGGTGCCTATATGGCACCCAAACGGGTGCCCAGCCACTTCAGCAAGTATAGGTCCCAAGCGTATAGCCGGATATAATGAAGTCGTACTTTTCGAGGATGCTGGACAGCACTTTTAGTGTTTGCATTGTGTGGAGCAAGACTTTGGAAACTCTTGGGCTTACTGCACAATGAAACGTACCAGATTAATGGTGGAAGAAGAACTGTATGATAACATGGATAGAAATCTACGTGAACTTATGTATTAGGTGTAGAGACTAGCACTCTTTAGCCTTCCATACACATACGAAGGTAGCGGTAGCGCAGACACTGCAGTGTATTCTTGCCAATGTAGCCAAGAGGCTCGCCGCCGCAGAACATCTCGAAAGCCAGTAGAGCGTAAATGCCGCAGTTGTAGCTATCCACTTGAACGCCCAACCCCGACTCGTACGTCTGTACTCGTTGGCTCGGGTTCACGCCGTTTGGTAGCAGAGATATCAGCACCTGAGCCACGGAGCGAACGCTCACTAAGTACGTAGACGAACTGGAATCGTATATGGCCACCTTTCCCTTTTCGAGGTTCATCATCACGGAGCACCAGTGATTACCATTGCAGTTCACGGAGAAGTTGATTCGATAGTCCCTCCATTTTCCTCCGAATACTCTCTTTGTCCGCCCCCATGTGCCCATCGACGACAGTACCTAGCATTGACGCCTTAAAAATAACTACGTTAGGATCCTGTCCGAACTTCTTTGTCAGTACCATGTGCATTATATCGTCCGCTAGGCAGAAGCTCGTTCACCATAGTCACCACATTTGACTCCAATTCCGTTCGTACGTGCGGATATTGACTGTAGATGTGCTTGTTTACGGGGTGATTGTGCACTAAACGCGCCAAGGTGATCCTCAAAATGAAGGTCGGAGCCTTAGCATCGTCAACTTGGACACACGCATTGATCTGCAATATGGGCACATGCAAGCACAACATCAGTAAGCTTCAACTCATCCCAACACAACCCAAAGATCCGCGTGCCCAGCTGGATGACAAACTCGGCCCAACTGGATGACCAACTCGGCCCAACTGGATGACCAACTCGGTCCAACTGGATGACCAACTCGTCTCAACTGAGCAGTAATCTTACCTGGGCTTCGCACTCCATAGCTCGCGACTGTAGACGCTTCCTCTTTCCCTTTCCTCGCGACTTGTACGTCCCCGAGTGCGTGCATATGTACGTCTTGCCGTAGTTCTTCCACTCATCCGGTAGCAACGGCTTCTTCGACCCCGACGAACGAATCTTGGCATTACGTGCTACCACTGTGTTCTTCGTGCGAATACGGAAGCTCTACGAAGAAGTCAACATAACAGTACGCTCGTGGTTAGCATAGGAATCATATGTAATCCGAAACAAAGCAAGATAATACCTGGTACGTTCCCCTAGTGTAGTCGGCCAAGTAACCTTCGAGGTCCTCCCACGACTGGAACTCAAGTCGCTCCAACGGGGGCACGAGAACTTCGAGCCCTTGGCCATCTTCAGGCTCGACTTGAACGCGCCGTGGATGGACCATCCGTCCGGATCGCCCCTGCTTGGACTGGCTGCTCGCGTCGCTGCAAGTTTCAGAGGCGGAATCCACCCATTCCTCATCGCTGAGTACGCACGGCGACGAAGCATACGTGGTGGCATCGTCGGCGGCCCCCAAGCACAGATTGCGGCGTTGCGTCGGCAGGGGCGGCCTCGGCACGGCCTTCACGCGCAGGTCGCGGCTCATTCCCCCCTCCGCTTTATTTCCGAATGAAGTGTGTGGTGGGGGAGACCGGTATAGACCGATGTATACCATATACTTTGGACGGATATATCCAGGGGATAGGGTAAAATCTGTGAAAAAGTTGTGCCTCTTTTTTACCCGCGAGTAGGGCACTGGCACACTCTCTTATTCAATTTACAAATGAAAGCATGCAGACCAGTTGCCAATTGGTACTTATAATTGTAAATGTAGCCACTGGCTAAATGTAGCCACTTATCTGTTACCCCGTTACACCCTTCCCCTGCCAAGATTAAACTTACTTGTCCTAACACACCAGTCAAAGGATTGACGAGACCGTCGAAACGTTCGAGGACCCAAGCCCATTTTGCAATGAGCTCGTCAGAGAAGACGCTCACAAATGAGGTTGCCCAGCAGGCTCTGCTACCTCCGTGACCACAGCTGCGAGCACAGCCACTTCGGCGCCTACGTAAGCGCATACGCCCGCGACGGAAGATAAACTTTATTTAACCAATATCGCTATATCTAAAAGCGAAAGCAC